TTGTATGAAGCTCTACTGCAGAATACATGCCTCGCATACACAAGACTCTGGGTTTGAGTCCCAACTCAGAAACAGAAATCAGAAAGTTTAGATCTATGGAGTCAAATAAAGAATCAGCAGGCCGTGTGTGTGCTTTTCTCTTGTTGTATCTTGAAAGCTTGTTTGTTTTTGTGGGTGTAGATTATATATGTCTATGCCCCACATGTATGCAGTATTCATGAAGCCAGAAAAGGAAGGCATGGATCCCCTGAGATGAGTTAAGACAATTGTGACCCACCAGGTTCTCTGGAAGGGCAGCCAGTTAACCACTGAGCCATTACTCCATCTGCAAAAGCTTCTTGTCATAATTGAGAAATGCCTGTTGAAAGTATATAAAATGTGAATATACAGCTTAAGGAATAATTTTAAAATATTTAACCAATATTGAAATTAATAGATGACTGATATCAGAAACCTCCATAATCCCTCCCCAGTCACAGATAGCCTAAACCCCTGGTAGTTACTATCATCCTATTTTTTGTATTAGCTATTTCCTGTTCTTATGGTATTACCCCCTCTGTGTGTAAATCTAAACAGAGCAGTGTAGTTCTGCCTGCTTCTGAGCTGTATGTAAAGAATTGTTGCATTTTTCTATGTCTTTCATTTGCTGTGGTTTATCCATGCTCATTGTAGCCGTATTTACCATTGCTGTATAGCTTACCTTTGCATTAATATACCAGTTTATGTTGTATTGACTGTGAATGATAAAGATGTATTTAGTTCAGGATAAGTACAGTTCTATAATAAATGTATTTTGTTTCTTTTCCAGTGCAAATATGATGGCTAGGATCAAACTTGCTTGATTGTAGATACTTTTTAATATTTTAGTTTTGAAAGTAAAACCTAATTACATCATTTTCCCCTTCCATTTCATCCTTCCAACCCTTCCCATGCACCATCCCCTTGCTCTAACACTCGCTTTCTCCACACTGAGGTCAGTTCAGATGGGTTTTGTTTTTGTATTTTGACAATGTGGTGGATATGCAATGGTATTTCATTGACCAGTTCCTCTGTTCTCTTATTATGGGGGAAGTGGAGTAGGTACCTTTTACACAACAAAATATGTAGTCAGATCTGCTACATATCTTCCTTCTGTGTTGACAGTGTTTTTCCTCATTGGTACATGAAAGATCTTTATAAACCCTGTTTTTATTGTCTTGTTTAGTTTTAAATATCTTCTGTAGCTAAAGGTTAGATACCTAATAGGACTAGTCTTTTATTTCACAATACCTCTCCTGAGATCCCCCTCTTGTCTCCTAAGCACTTTAGTTTTGCCTTTCAGGATTAAGTTGTAATTCATGAGGAGTTGATTCTGAACATCATGGCTAATACTAGATCAGTAATATTTAGGTAAAGTTTGCTTTCCTTTTTTCCTTGGTTCTGCCAAGGTAGCATTGCATTGGAAAATGTGTATGTCTCCTACTGAACCTTTATTTCTTTCCTTTTCTGTCCTAATGCTAATATACTGTCTCCATCACTGTAGCTGATAATATTTATATTTGACAGAATTCATCATTCAAACATTTTCTGTTAAAATGTCTTTATTATTCTTAACCCTTTGATTTTCCTTTCTCGGATTTCTTCATAAACTTACAAACTGGTCGCTCTGGCAGTTTTCACTTTTCTTCCCCCCCCAAAAATCGTAATCTTTCATTTATGTGTGGTATGTTTCTTTGTATGTGCACACTTTGTATTTATGTATACCATGTACACATGTATGCAGTCCGTGTGTATGCAGGTGTCTGTAGAGGCCAGGAGGCAGCACATCCCCTAGATCTGGAGTTAGAACATTTGTGAGTTGCCCAAGAGTGGATGCTGTGAGTGAGACCCTGTCCTCCCCAAGAACAGCAAGTACCCTGCCCCCTGAGCCATGGCTCCAGCACAGACCATGTAGTTTGCCTAATTAAAGAATCAAAAGCCTTCCTCAGTCTGTTACCTGACTTTTGTTTCTTCTGTTCTTTCTCTGTACCCAGTATCCTTTTAATGCTTGCCAGTATTTTACTTGAAATTGTGAAGAAATTACTTAATAGAATAATATTTTTATTCTTCAAAGACATGTTTTTGCTTCTGCCTGGGGACTTGTAACACCTAACCTTGGTGAAATTCCAGGCTCTCAGATTTTTTAGCCATACTAGTGTGATTTAAGGTAGAACTTTTGACTACTATTCTCTTATTTCTTGTCTGCCCTTACCCTTAAAGTTCATCTCTTCCAAGTTCCAAATGTGGTTTGAAGTTACCAGGGTCCTCACTCTTGACTGGTCCTAAAAATCAGACCATTTTTTTTCTTAACCAAGATCTAGATGAACTAAAACGCAAAATATAAAGATTACTGCAAAAACCATATGTTTGGAAAATATTGATGATTAAAAAAATCCTAATGAGCCAGGATCATTGAGCTACAGCACTGCCACCCTAACCCACATTTGGCTCACATTCCAGTGGGCCCCTAAAGAGCTCACGTCTGGAACAGAGTCCCAAGTTTCTGTGCTGTTGTTATTTTTAGCTGAGGCTTTGAAAGGTGATTAGGTTAAAGGAGGTCAGCCATAGCACCAATAACCACAAAGGTGGGCATAACTTGACTGAAAATGATTTTCCTGGCTCACACTGGAGGTCCAGGCCAGATTGAGACCCAGGAAGAAGTCCTACACAGTTTTCAGTGCTGTACATTTGGTCTTCCAGTGTCCATACCCATGAATAAAATAGAGTTTCACTCCTTTAACATAAAAAAATGCTAATGAAAATTTAAAAGATTTTTCTTAATCCTTAAATTTATTTGAGACTTACTTTGTGACCCAGGATATAATTTTTTATGAATTTGGAACTAGTACATTCTGTAGTCATTAGGGGCTGTGTGCTATACATATCAGAGACATCAAATCTTTTAATATTAAAGTTTCTATATCCTTATGTGTTTTTAATAAACTATAATGTGAATTATGAGTTATACTAAAAGTCACCTATTTATTTGCTTTTTTCTCCCAGTGTTGTTTCTGTTTTATATATCGTGAGGCAACATTAGTAAGTTCATGTGTGGTGGTTTGAGTAAGAATGGCCCCCATAGATTTATATATTTTAATATTTACTCACTAGGGAATGGAACTTGAATTTGAAAGGATTAGAAGGATTGTGAGTTGTGACCTTGGAGAAATTGTCACACTGGAGATGGGCTTTGAAGTTTCAAATCCTGTGCCAGACCATGTGTCTGTGTGTGTGTGCTCACACGCATGCAAGCACCTTCAGATCAGGAGGTAGTTCTTAACTGCTTCTCCAGGGCTGTGCCTGCCCCCGTGCTCCCACCCGATGAGAGCAGTAGACTGCTGAAACTGTAAGCAAGGCCCCAATAAAATGCTTCCTTTCATAAAGTTGCTTCGGTCATGGTGTTTCTTCACAGCAACCAAATAGTGACTAGGACTGAAAATCTGACTTGTTATATTTTCCTGCTGAATTGTATTTTATCAATGTGAGTTATCTTCGTGCCTTAAAGTCTTACCTCTAGCCATCTTTTAAGTCAATATTCTCATGGGATAATTTTTCCATCCATTTCCTTTGACCCTTTACATATTCTAATTTTTAGATGTTTGCCTAGTTTATACCACAATTGTTTGGACTTGGTGGTCAGGAGGTATTGATCATCCTGCCCGGCAGTTGCTCTTCAGCAGCTGTTACTGTTTGACAGGCTGTAGTTTTTCTCTGCCATCCTACAGAGCGTATCTCCCCAGCATCTGTAATGTTTTCACCTTCCTTTTTACAGTTGGGTTCTATGTGGACATTTCCATTCTCCCCTAAATCTGTTTACCGATTGTATGTTAAATTTGTTATTAAAATAAATCATGGTTTCTGTTTTCTTAAAGGATAAGCACTGTTTTCTCTTGACTAAAGTTTGTTTTTTACTATATTAAGTTCTGTCTCTTTGTACAAAATAAAACTAGCCTCAGTCACTACCTTAGTGATTAAGACTACATATTCCCAAACAGCAATGTTTCCACAACCAAATAACTCTTGTAGAACGTTGCCACTCCCAGCCCTAGCTGAGTCGACCATGGTTGGGTCAAAGCACCTTTAGTTGCTCTAATTCTGCTGCATACTGTTTCCCTTGCAAAACTCACTCTTAGAATCCAGTTTGTGAAGAAAACCAGAGTAACTCATGTGAAAAATTGAGGTTGTCAACAGCCTCAGGTATCAGACGTGAGTAAAACTTTTAAAATGATTGGGGGCCTAGACTTCATAGACCAGGGGCTAGTCATTCTTTGCTGTGTTGACTTACCAGATTCATGAACATACAGTTGTAAGTTTTAGACTTCTTTATACACGTATCAACTTTGTTTCTTCAACTTATATTTCATTACACAGTTCTTTTGCATACTTTAGTTCAGTTGTATACTACAGTGTCTGAATTCTATAAGCCAATAGTCAATGCTTGTATTTTCATACACCTATATAACTTTCTTTTATCTTTTTCATACCGTTAACACGTTGAAAGTATTTATTCCGAGCTGGAGAGATGGCTCAGCAGCATTGGGGAATATTATTTTCAGGTGTGTGATTTTTGTTTATGCTGCTCTTATTTAACTCTGTAAAGCTGTGATTGCCTGTCTAAAACACCCAGTAAAGAGCTGGCTGGCCAATAGCAAGGCTTGAGCAAGGAGAGGCGGGGCTGGCAGACAGAATGAATAGAAACAGAAGTTGCAAGAAAAAACGATGCTAGGGGTCAGTCACTCACTCAGCTGCCCATCCAGCCACAGAGTAAGAGTGAAAGTAAGATTACAAAAATAAGGAAAGGAAAGAGCTCAGAGGCCAAGGGTAGTCGGGATAATTTAAGAAAAGCTGGCAAGAAACAAGTCAAGCTAAGGCTGGGCATTCATAACTAAAACTAAGCTTCCAAAATGTGTTATTTGGGAGCTGGGTGGTGGGCACCCCAAAAAGTCAAAAGAGTAAAACATCACACAACATGCACTACAGAATTAAATTTGAAAGTGGTGTTTATTTTATCATCCTTCATTGATATACGGCTTAGTTTTGAACTAGTAGACTGATAGCTTCAAGGAAAAACATAAAAATGAATTGCATTTAGTTCCATGAACATAATATGCGGCATATAGCATTCCTACCAGGTGGACTTTTCCTAGTTCATTTCATATCTGTGGCTGCCAACCAGATAATTTAAATGACTTACATTTGATTCATTTGTCCAATCAGATTTTACCAAAAACCTAGTTAGGGTTTAGAAGATAATGTAGGATTTAGGGGAACTAGATAATCTGCAATGCAAATTGTATATGTGAAATGTATTTAAATGAAGCCAAGAAGGAACAAAAACCTGGCTTTAGAAAGTAATTTTTCCCCACTTAATACAGAGAAATGCATGTGTCCAGTTACTCTACAGACAGCTGGTAACCAGTAAATTGATTTCCTATTGATAAAACAATGAAATTACATGCTACATTATTTTATTCTTGTTCCCAAACAAGTGATTTAGGGTCAGAGATAATTGTCTTTAAAAGTGAAAGTCTTTTGAAAACAATAAATACCAAGACCTATGGAGGCAGTTTTCACATTATTTCATGCCTTGTGTGGATTTTTCTTCAGCTTCTCACTTATCTCTTCTGTGTTGGGCTCTTGACCTGGAAATATGGGTGGAAAGTCTTGATTAGATAAGGAAGTGATTCTGTAGGACCAAGTTTTTCTCTACTCTCAGTAGGAGTTGTTTTTCTTGCTTGTTCCCAAAACACTGGTGGTGTTACTAAGTTTTACATAATTAGATGCAGAATATCCAGATTTCTTTTAATATTTTTGTACCCTGGACCTCAAATATCATGTATTTTATTATACTTAAGCTTAATGTTCTGTATACGTTTTATGCTGTATTTTGAAATGACTTTTAAGCTGGTAATTTCTGACATTGGGAAGAATAAATTGAGAGAATATCTCTTGACTATTCTATTTCTATTGCTGCTCTTGCCTCTTGGTATCAGAGAGAAAGTGTAACAAGGGTCAAAGATAATTCCAGGTTCTTTTCGTTAGTAGGCTATGTAAACACACTGGCCAATTCCACAGCTCCAGACCCCTGAACCGTTAAGTACGGCTACACTCAAGTTTAGACATTAGACTAAGTGTTCTAACATTCACACTGGGCCTCAGCAAGCAAGTCTGTGTCCCAGAAACGATCACCAGATTCCACAAAGCTTTCTTAAAATGCAGCTTTTGAGGGGTTGGCCATGGCTTTTCTCAGAAAGTCCTATTTTCCTTCTCTTTTTGCTTTTGAAAATCTAAATATGGCCAACTCCAGAAGCTTTTCTGATTTGAAAGGCTGCCTGGGCATCTGTAATTGACTTGTTCTCCCTATTAGTCAATAACTCTGATAACAAAGGAACCAGATGCAAGGGAGTTGAGTAATACTGTTTGTTGATCACAAAGCAAACCAAACCAGTTCAATCACATAGCGATAATAAGCTGGTTGTCTATTTTTCAAAAATCATCATTTGATGTAATTTAAGTCAGCAGTCCATTTTCAATAATTTTTTTTTTTTCCTTTTACCTGTTTTCTTCTTCCCTGGTCCTAACACCCCAAAGAAAATCCTTTCTATCCATAGAAACCAAGAAACTGAGAACTGAGGGAGTGGGATTTGCTTTTACATGTTGGTTTTGCTTTGCTTTTTCTCTAACTTGTTTGAAGAGACACAGCCCCTAGCTCACGGGACAGCAGGACAGCCCTGGCTAAGCTCTCAGGCCACTTCTTTTACCTAGAAGTGGTAAGAACTGTGGTCCTTAGGACAGTTGGAGACATCCTAGAGGTAAGAACTGGGAAAGAGCGCCACCTAGTGTTGTATCAGCCGTGCACAGATTCTAGGCTTACCAAGAGCTCCTCTTGTACAAAGATCCGCTTTGGTTCTAGACAGAAATTTTTATTTTATAAAGATCCAAGCAATGTTGGAATAAAAAAATACAGCTAAATGTAAGTAGCAAAGTCAGAAACATACTTTTGAATTTGCATTGCATCAGTTAAAGTAGGAGGCCAGGTTCTGGATATGTTTTTCTACACGGGAAAAAAATTATTTATATTTTAGTCGGGTTTTTTTTGGAGGGGAGTCTCTCCAATTCCTGTGTGCCTCTCCCTAGTTCAAGATTTTTTTTCTTATTTTAAATATTTATTTTTTTATGTATACAATATTCTGTCAGTGTGTATGCCTACAGCCAGAAAAGGGCACCATACCCCATTACAGATGGTTGTGAGCCACCATGTGGTTGCTGGGAATTGAACTCAGGACCTTTGGAAGAGCAGGTAATGCTCTTAACCTCTGAGCCATCTCTCCAGCCCCAAGATTTTTTTCTTTAATGTTGTTACATGGACATGCATATGTATATGTGTGTATACTGATATGACTTACTGAGTTCATTTACCTTTGCTAGTATGTACATGTGTCCAGGACTGAGCACTTAGGACTGGACAACATATGTGGAAGCTTCTCCATGGAGAACACTGATTCTCCCTCTCTCTGTGGTCCTTGATCACCTGTATCTCTTCATTCCAGGCTATTACACAGCTATGCTAATAAAAACATGGTAATGGCACAAAAAATGTGCAGACTAATGGAACAAAACAGAAGGCCCAAACATGAGTGTGCTTAACTATAGCCATCTGATCGATACTTGACAACAATGCCGAAAACTCGGGAGAAAAGACAGCGCCTTCAATAAGTGGTGCTGGGAAACAGGATCTCCACATGTAAGAGAAGGAATCCCATTCCCCAGATACTTGGTTAGTCATGTCATTGTTGCTCAAGTCACTATAGTTAGGAAACAAACTAAATCTCCCTTAGCTGATGAATGGTAGCTGACAATGTGGTGTGTCAAAGGCTCTGAGCTCTACATTGCAGATACTATTGCCCTAGGATATCTTGAGATGTATAAGCCTAAAGCAGCCTAACTAAGGTAACTGACTTGGAGCTTCTTCCCACAGCAGTTGAGACAGCTGCTTCACCCTAGCCAGATAATTGCCTACTTAAAGCAAGTACGTGCTGCAGATACTTTAGAAGGACTCAAAAGACTCTGCAATAATACTCAGATTGCCCAAATGGAACGTAAAATTAATTGGTGGAAAGTCAGAAAATTGATTCCGGCATGGTGATGCATGCTGTTAATCCTAGTACTCCGGAGGCAGATGCAGGCAGATACTGAGTGCAAGGCGAGTCTGGTCTCTGAAGTGAGTTCCAGGACAGCCAGGGCTGTTAAACAGAAAAACCAAAAGAAAACCAAAAAAAAAAAAAAAAAAAAGAAAAGAAAAAAAAGAAAGAAAGTTGGAAATTCTACAGAAAAAAAAACATATCAATAAGAAAATAAGCAAACGGAGCTATACCATGGACTGTAAAGTGCCTACTTTTGTTTTTAACTTGTAGGGAGAGCACTAGAGATCACATGCAGGGTCCTCCCCAGCCTGAGCATAAGGCTCCTGCATCTAAGATGGAATGAAAACCATTCTGAAACTTAGAAGGCAGAATATTAGAAATAAATTCACTTAACAAAACATAGTATTTCTCACAAGCAAGCACATTTTGGCTTATTATGCAAACCCAGCACTTAATACAGTATAATCAAGTGGGTTTCATGTAATGTTTGAAACTTTGTATAACTCACCATATTAACCAACTAAGTAATAGCTCTATATGTGATCATATAGGACAGATGCAAAAACAAAACAAAAAAAAAACAAAAAACAACTCACAAATTTCAGCATCTATCAATGATATCTAAATAAAATGCCATTCCAAAAAGTAGCAGTTGTTAAGGAAACTTGCTTCATTCTGGGAAAAAGGAGGAAGAGGAGGAAGAAGAAAAATGTAGTATTATGCTTAGCAATGGAAAATGGAAGTTTTACCCCAAAAGCTGGGAGCAAGGGAAGGAGGTTTCAGATACTCCAGCCAGCACTGTAAGGAACAAATAACAGTGTAAGCACGCTGAGAAACACGAGCTAAAGCTAACACTGTCTCTCATACCAGGAATCCTATAGAAAAGTCTCAAGAAGTCAGGTGTGGGGGTACATGGCCTGTAATACAAGCACTTAGGAGGGGACGACAAGGTCAGTTTCAGTTTCCCATTAAGCTGGAGCCTATGTGAGTGACAAAGACTAGAAAAACTGCCCAATCAAATTCAATCAATTTTTCTGATCTGTAGAACAATGAACCAATGAAATAGTTATTAATTTAGCCGTTGCAGAGGTGGTTTATTATACAGGGTTGAATAATTAACTGAAAGAATAATATCCAGGGATGAGGAAAGTTACAATGGATTTTCTACATACTCCAAAATTTATTTTAAGAAATCCCAAGGGTTTGGAGAGATGTTGTTTTAAGAAGTCATTCTTTCACAGAATTCTAGTATGTTTTCCCACATACATACTAAGCAATGTATTATGTTGACTATGTGTATAGTTATCTGTCCATGTTTAGGATCATGGGTTATGAGAAGTTTTCAGAAGCTAGACAACACAGAGAAAAAAATTAGGGATGAGAGAAAAGGGCTGCAGGAACGAGTAACTCAAAGAGCAGGTAGAAACACTAAGGGGAAATGCCATGGTTATTTTAATGGTATTTCAAAGCCCGCAATTAGATTCACATAGCAGAAGATGAAGCAATGTTTCAGACTCAGGGAAAAATTTTTTTAGAACAAGAATCCAGTAAACCGCGTTGCTTTGAGAGTCATGAATACCATAACAGGCCTTGCCAAGCAAACTGTGTGACCACATCTTAGAGATACTTCCTCTGCTAAGTGTACAGAGGACCACACAGATGAAGATCGCACTTGATCATTTTCCTAAGACTCCTGCAGACTCTGAGCTCTTGTACTTTTTGTATTTTAGGTAGCATCCAAAGATAGTGATATTTTAAGAACTTAGACTTTTAAACCTACTGTTGTTTTAGTTCATGAGACTTTGCAAATATGTCCTTGGTGCAGGTTGACAAAGTTTTTTATATATATATAATGTGTAGAAGAGGAAACTGTTTTTGAATGAACCCCAAACTAGCTGGAGATGCTTAACCTCTTCTGCTCAGAGCTTGCCCAGTGACTACATGTAGACTGTTGGATAGAAGAGGGGAAGATGACCGAGTCTAGCTTGCCTCACTATAGTGAAAACGAGAATGCAAATGGAGCCAATGTAATGAGCGTGTGAACTATGCTGTTGATGCAGGTCTCATTGCTCAGTTTAATGGACAGCTACCTGTCACTGTTTTAAAGTTCTTCCTTTATGAAAAAGAAGCCCACCAGTTTTGGAGTTGGCCCCAGCTATGACTTGTGTCAGTAGTTCCTCACCGTCTGCTCACTCCTACGTCCTTGCCATCTGACTTCCTTATCTTTATAATAGAATAGCACTATATTAGGTCATTTACTACCAAATGGCCAATCCCCACAGCCTTTGCTTATTCTCATGCATTCTACCCAGGCCCAAGCATCCGACACGGTTGTGGGCCCATCCCTTTACATTTCCCGTTTGCCACCCAGGAGTCTATATTGTTTTGTTTTCTCCTATTGTCCATGAACTTGTTTGATGAAGACAGATAGAATGATGGAATGAGGTTAATAATCACAATGCATGCCTCATAGACTGTCTGGAAGGAGAGGCTACCCCACCCCCCCAGACTCTGACAAAGATGATTGCCAAATGGAGAGCTTTACATTTTAAATTTTTAGTTTGTCCTGTGGCATGTTTGGGTTTTGTTTTTGTTTGATGCAGCTGTAAAGTGAAGAACATACCGAGGTTGTCATCGGTTGAATGTATGAAAGTGAAGAACATACCGAGGTTGTCATCGGCTGAATGTATGAATGGTCTCAGATTCCCTCGAGTCTCCTTCACAAAATAGTCAACGACGCTGAAAAGGTTTGGGAGTGTTACCTGTGGGAAAGAAAGAAAAAGATGGCTCAGTGCTCAGCTAAAGAGAAACAAGAGATGCTCCCCTGAACTCTAGTGGGAATTGTTGCATATTTCCTGACCTCCAGACAGTAGATCAGGTAGACATCAAGCTTCAATGACTCGCTGAACAGCAGTGATTCTCTTAGCCATGTCTGTTTCATCCTATTTAAGGACTGTGTGGCCATTCTTTGTTGAGGAAATATTCTCAGCACTGGGTGCAGTCTGGTGAATAACATTTAAGTACTTTGCCTTCCCACAATTAAAACAGAAAAATGACTCATTTTAGGTCAATTTAATTCCTTCCTAAAATTGGGATTTCAATAGGCAAACGAGAAAAACAGCAACTCCATAACCAAATGTTTCCTACTCCCTAAAAATTGCTAGCCTCTAAAATAGTTATAACAAGAATCTTCTATAGACTGATATTATATTTTCTTAAATTGGGCACAATTAGTATAGGAAGTAAGTTCCTATACTAGAAACCCCAGTGAATTTTTAAACATTTAATTCTTCATTGTAACAAGATAATTTAGGGTCTGTGGGCCACTAAAATCTCTCTACCCTACAACTCAATACTTTTATACAAGTGAAATCTGGTTAAACCTGAATATCCCAAATAATCTTGAAGTAAAATAAGTCATTAAAATGCAACCTGGTTGAAGGGCAGGGTAACAGGGGAGATTGAAAGGTGAAGGAACTATCCAGGCTGTTCATTTTCCTTCTCCTGTGCACTGTAGAGGCTAACCACAAGAAGTGCAGGTCTCCACTTACAAAAGTGCACTAGTTACATTGGTCCATACTGGAACCCCTTCTGGTCACTTGGTTTTACGGATTTAGGGCTTTCCTAGACTTCTGCCTCATTGTTAGAACTCTGCTTACAAAGCTCAGATGGAGCTGGGCCTGGTTGGTGCACACCAATCATCCCATCACTTGGGGAACAGAGGCAAGTTTACGATGGATTGAGATATACATAGCTGGATCCATAGACGTGGACCTGACAAGTTCTGGAGCCATTCTTTACTAGAGTGCGCTGTACAACAGTGTCTCTGTGAGCCTTACAGTCCAAATGTGAGAAATTCTACCTATACATTACTATACAATGCACCTCGAGAAGCTAGGAACTAAAATTTAAAGAACTCCAGGCCACATCACCACCTTTTCAATGGCTGAGACTAGTCTAAACATCAGTTTACTCCCTGTATAATAGGCGTAACAATATCTACCTCATGGAGATAGAAAAGATTAAATTGCATGTGTAAGTTACTTGGTTGTGCGCCAGACATTGCGCTGGAGGAGAGAGAAGACCGCCTGTCGTTAGCTCCATGATATAATAACTAAGCTTGAAGAGGAGATGAAGACGAAGAAGCCTGCTGTTAAGAGGGCATTGTTGGATTTCTGCGTGGTAGGTATTAGAAGACAAGGCACAGAGATTGCTTCCCTTCAGATATAGGCTCATTTGAGTATTTGTAAATAGAGGATATTATATTGACCCTTCATAAAACGCTTTTCTTTCTCTGAAGCAGTCATATTGAGCAATCATTTGCAGAGAGAGTGGAGGGAAAAGCACTTATTGAATCAGGCTCCCTTCTAGTGGATCTCAGTTGCCTGAGCTGGCGAGGCGCTCATCCTTTCCATCTTACCTAGAGGTGCTCATCTCCCTTCTACCACCACCGTGCCTCTTCCTGAGGAAGACGTCTGCGTTCCCACTTCCCTCTGCAGTCTTTAAGGGTAGGCTTGGAAGGCAACAGCAGAAAGTTTATCAACAACAAAGAGATGGCTACGTACGGGTTTTTCCAGGTCGATGGTGTAGTTCTTTCCAGCGCTCATCACTTTGTAGTGTTTGATTCTCGGCATTCTAAAATGAAGCGCAAGGTTGGCCTTCTTTTGGTTATACAGTTGAGTCAATGCAAGCTTAATGAATCGAGAAGGTGCGCTGTGTAGTAAACCTGTACATCTTCAGCTATGGCTTAGCCTAGAGCATCCTGTTTCTTCATTGGGATTACTTTATCTCTTTCAGACAAATGGTCGTACATGAGGGGATATAAAAAAGCTGAGCCACTACATTGGTAAACAAGCAAAGAATAGGTGAAAATAAAAACTAAAACTCTCTCCGTCAGTAACATATAAAATCTTATGAAAGAATAGGGATTAGGGATGTAGCCAGGGTGGGGATGTAGCCCCAGGGTAGGGATGTAACCCAGGGTAGGGATGTAGCCAGGGTAGGGATGTAGCCAGGGTAGGGATGTAGCCAGGGTAGGGATGTAGCCAGGGTAGGGGTGTAGCCCAAGTTCAACACATGTCTATCATGTATAATGTCCACTCCTTAAAAGTGAAAAATAAAATAAACCAAAACTTAAAGGAGTAAACAATCTTTTGTGGGCATATATAAGTTAAATAATGTACCCATTCTACTAAAAGGAAAGTAAAAAAGAATTATTGAGAGCAAATAGCCTTGTACTCCACCTCATCACCAATCCCACCAAACAGCCCTCCACAGCTGTCTCTGTGCGAGCTCAAATGCTGTCCTGCATCGCTGCTCACTTTGTGGTTCTCTTAATGACGGGGGAAATGTCAGCTGCTAGATAGCAGGTGGTTGGGAATGTTAATACAGCAGAGGCATCTTCAGGTCTCCCCCTTTGGAAATAACACCCTGAACTGTTACCACCCCAAATGGTAAGATTTTGTTATGAACTGCTTCAGAGCAAAAAATCCCATTGTGCTCCTCACTGCGTTCCAACATTATAAACGCATCATTTATAAAGCCCGATCGAATAACATCTGGGCCTCATCGCATAACGCTGTCTGCTGTGAGCTGAGAGTCCCTGCTGAGAAGTCAGTGTCCATGGCGGTTAGTTTTGCATAGAAGCATGTTTGTCTTGAACTTATAAGGTTCACGTGGCAATTGTGTTTTGCCCAAACGTTTTCTAATTGGTGACATATTAACAGCATGTAAGATGGTGTCGTTTATTTGAACTAATTCAATATTTGCCTCATATTCAGAAGCCAAGGAAAATTATTCATTAACTTGTCTACGGGGTCTTTTCACCTGTTTTTTGGAACCACAACTTTTCCACTTCCAGTTCATATTTCTTGAGGGCTAAACTGTATGAGTGTCCTTCCTACACGGGATGCTCCTTATCTACCATTACATCCAAATCTCTGCTCCCCTGGATACCACATTGGAAAGCAAATCTTTAATCTCAATGGGCTGCTTTCAAAATGAGATAAGCCTTAGCCAAGCTTCTCACTTCAAAAGAAGTGTTCCTTAACAATAAAAGGTCACGAATCAGTTCCACACTGGCAGAGAAAGCGTCTTTGGGCAGAGGGCACCTTACATGTGCCTGTTCAAGATGGTTGGCTCTGACTTTATCGTAACCCCATCAGGAAAAGATCTTTGTAACCAAAAAGTTCCCGTTGAAAACGCTCGTCAATTTCAATTCGAACTCCTGTATTCTGAGAATAAATGACTGCTACCCTTTGGGAAACAGCACAGTTGGCTTAAACTCCGTTTCTGTCATATGTGCTCTCTACATGTCCCCCATCATGTGTGTGAGTAGATGTATGTATGTATGTGTTAGTGTGTATTTGTGACAGAATATGTGTGTGTGCGCATGCATGCATGTGCGTGCACATGTGTGTGTTTTCAGCCTACATAATGGAGATGATAAAGGTTTACCTCTTAGTGTTCTTGTGGGCTAATAACTCACAAAATCCCTTGACATATTTAAAGATGCACTAAATTATACTTATTTTATCTACATTTAATATGTAGATAATATGTATTGTTTTCTGCCAGTCCAGTTTGTAAAGCACGGGAAATGCTATGTGTCTGTGTTTCTTTTGTGCCTGTAGGAAATGTCTGCAGCACTCAACACAAGGTACACAAAAAGCATCATATAATGGGACAATGATTGTTGGTAATAACCATCCCATCACATAATCAATTCTTGGGGAAGCTGCGAGATGAAAGCAGACAGAAGTCAGCAGAAGCTCTTGGGCCTTTGGAGTAAGGGTACTAGATTCTGACGTCAAAGGTGATGCAGAGAAGCAGGGGCCCTGAAGTCTCAGGCTTTGTCTCTCCCTTAGGCTACTTTTCTTCCAACTGTTTTTTTTGGTTTGGTTCGCAAAGGAAAAAGCAAAATGGATAAAACTTGCTGTTTGAAGCATTCTGGTTATGATATCAAAAGTAGAGTAAAAAAAATGAGAGGTGGCGGCAGACACCTGTAATCCCAGGCTGAGTCAGAAGAACTACAAGTGAATCCAAATGAGACAGAAAAAGAGAAGCCAGTCTTTAAAGAAAAAGAAGAACGTGGCTTTATATGTGATTTTAAATATGTTTTCTTAGTTTTTAATCTCAAATTTTGCAAAAGGATGAATTTGGGGGAAAGATACTCTACTTCCTCCTTAGCTAATAATGGCTTACTTGACTATAATGGCACCTAGTTGGAACAACTTCAAAGGGAAAAACAAAGTTTGAGGCTTGTTGTCAAAATAGCCTTATGTCTTCTGAATTCTCGTGCCATGGAGCTGGCTAAAGACAGCTGAGGCTCTGCTCTGAGAGGAACCACCTGATGGTTTGGCCCTGGCAAGCTCTGTTTACTCCCGAGAGCAGCCCTCCTTCCGACGGCTGGTAAACACATGGGGGGAAAAATACTTTCATGTTCTGCTTTGTAAACCAGTTTGTCCTACCCAGCTCGTGTTTACCGGACTCACTCATCAACTTGCATGGCTGAGCCCTTCTCGTGGAACCTCCCTGAAAGATAATGAGCTTGTTTTGTGGAAAACACAGGTGTTTCTCAATAGTCCGGATTCCTGCCACCTTACATTGAGCTCTCCATTGGCAAGACACACCTCTAATCCTCTCTCAGATTGCTGTCTCTAAAAATCAAGTGACATATTAAGTAGAAGATATTAAACCCTGAGCACGGGGGTGAATTTTCTGTTTTGTTTCTCCTACTTTGGGAGCTGGTGCTTTTCCAGGGTCCAGGACAGCCCAAACTTGGGCTGAAAAAGGACAACACCGATGGGCATCCCAAAGTATCTGGAGGGTTAAATTCAACAGGCCTCAACCACAGAGAAATCTGTAGTGAGGGAAGTGGCCTTCCCGGGGAAGAACACATCATTGGTTGTCCGCTGCCTAATGATGAGCCTTGAAAACATACATGCAAATAATATTAAGGAATATCTATGTGTATATGCATGCAATAACCATTAGGAACATTTATGTTCTATTTCGATGTCATGTTTAGGAACACACACACACATGCATGCAATAACAGTGGAAACAAAAAAGGCCTTCAATTTGAAGAATAGAAACGAGTATATGGGAGGGTTTGGAGAGAGAGAAGGAAACGGGGAATGTTGTGATTATATTATAATCTTAAAAAGAAGAAAATAGAAAAGAGAAAGGCCTGTGTTGGTCAAAAGCCATATTCACTGGCAGCTCTAACTTGTACTTCTTTTGGACTTGTTTTGAAATCCCCGGTTAAATTATTAATCAAATAAATTATAAATTTTAAAAAAATCTATAATATTTTATTATATTCTAACGGGGCTGAAAATTTTTGCTGATGTTTAGCTTGTAAAAGCTTATGTCATTACAGCATAAAAATAAAAAATGCTAAAAAAGATAAAAATAAAAAAATAAAAAATGCTAAAAAAGATAAAAATAAAAAAATAAAAAGATAAAAAATGTTAGTATATAATAAATAGGAACCATAAGGAATCCACAGAAAGGTTGACAATTATTTCCTGTGGAAAACTATAAAAATACACACACAGATTTGGGAGCACCAGGATCTAACTTATCACCTAACATTCTTGCCACCTGTTCATGGCTACTGCATGGAAACAAGTGTCTATTGATGTTAACTGGCAAGCAAATGAAGTTTTGGGAGCCATGGCTCATAATAGTAATTGAGCTATATACTGCTGTGATTTTTTTCTCTAAAATATGTTTACTTTTTACTCTCTTTATCCACTGTCTTCATATTCAATCTATTCAGAATGACAGATATTATGAAATAAATTTGTAGATTTGTTGGTAGACACATTATAGTAAATAATAGTAAATTCCAAAACTCAGTGTTGTATTTATGTTTTGTATAAGACAGTCACTTATTTAATATTTAAATGTATGACAAAAGCATCTATTTAAATCATATTGTCAGTTTTGATAGTGTCACCTAAGCCAGAATCTCTATTGAAATGTGGAGATTTTCAGACTCTGAAAGTTGAAGTGGCCTTAGAAGGTTCAGCAACTCTAATTACATATAAAATTATTTTGTGTTTATGTTATGCGTGACAGCACACGTACATGTGTAAACTTTCTTGTGGACTCCAGAGATCAACCTTGGATGTAGCCTCAACCTTCAACCTTCTTTTTTAGACAAGGCTTCTAACTGACCTGCGACTTGTCAAGCAGGTTTGGCTGTCTGGCCAGAAAGTCCTTAGGATCTGCCTGTCTCCACCTCCCCACTCTGGGATTACAAGTATGTGTCAGCATCTGCCTTATCTTCTTCCTTCCTTTCTTCCTTCCTTCCTGCCTGCCTTCTTACCTTTGAGCCTGCTTGCCTTCCTTCCTCCCTCCCCCCACCCTACCCATTCTCTCTCTCTCTCTCTCTCTCTCTCTCTCTCTCT